ATTTACTCTCGGGCCAGCTCAACTTGATCTTATTCCATGTAAACTACCTTGTTTCTGCTCCAGCTCAACTTGCTCTTATTCCATGTAAACTATCTTGTTTCTGCTTCACATCTAATAGGGCAGACAATCCTTCCGAGCACATAAAAAAAAAGATAAGGCGAAAGTAGATATCCTTGTTGAAGTGCCCTCTGATAACAAGAGAATAACTAACAGAAGTAACACATTTCATAACAGAAGCAATCCATCTATTATGAAACCCCATTTTTCACATTATTGTTTTAAGAATATTCCATTCAACCCTATCATAGGCCTTGCTCATATCTAGCTTCAAAGCGAAAATCCTATTCTTCCCATATTTTTTGGATTTTGAGGTTTGGAGTGGTTCATAGGCTACAAGGATATTATCTGTAATAAGCCTACCTGGTACGGAAGCACTTTGGGTCTCACTGATACACAAGTAAAGTGATTTTTAATCTATCCATTAGAACTTTTGAAATGATTTTGTAAATCACATTGCAGAGACTTATAGACCTATATTGGGTTATCTTGGTGGGATCTTTGACCTTGGATATAAGGACAACATGGGTTAGGTTAAAATCGGACAAGTCCCTAGCATCATTCAACACAGAGAGGCAAAACAAAGTCACATCAATTCCTATAATATGCCAAAATTTTTGGAAAAAAAATAAAAAGGGCAGGCATACCATCAGGTCCTGGTGCTTTGTTGAGATGCATTTGTTTTATAGCCTGTTGGATCTTCCGCTTTAAATTTTACGAGTAAGCTTTTGTTCATCTCGTCTGTTACTTGGGTTTCCACTACCCCTAAGATCTTGTAACAGTTGGAAGAATTTTGTGCTCTAAATAAATCCTTGAAATAGTCAGTGGCCACGCAATATCCGCTTCCTCCTCGCACCATTTTCCACCAGCATTATCCAAACCCCAAATAAAATTATTTTTTTCCTATTTTTCGTCTAGGCATGGAAAAGGGCTATATTTCTATCCCTCTCTTTAAGCCAGGTTATTCTAGACCTCTATTTCCAGTATACTTGTTCTTTTTCAATACACTGATTAATCTCCTACTTTGTTCTTTGTTCATGCTTCAAAACCTTCTTCACTCGGTGCTGCTGACTTTGTCATTAAAAGTTCCTCCTTAAGCCTTTTCATATTTTGTTACATGGATCCCACCTCATTCACATGCCAATGCCTAAGCTGGATCCCCACGTTCTCCATTTGTTCTTTTATTGAACACCCATTCTTAGCTTCACATGCATTGTTTATTATTTTTACACAACCTGTTTCTTTAGTCCACCATGCTTCAACCATAATTCTATGCTTTTCCTTTTTGGTGCTTTCCAATCCTTTCCTCCCTTGCCGTGCTCACCATGATTGAGATGTGGTCCGATGTTGACACTACAAAATGTTGTACCTCATAGTCTAGGAAAATATCAAACCACCTTTTGTTTTCCACCACGTAATCCAGCCTTTCTCGAATGTTGTTTTCTTCAGTGTTGCCTCTCTCCCAGGTATACCACTGTCCCTTAAATCCCAAATCCTCCAAACCACTGTCCAATAAAGCGTCTCGGAATGCTTCCATCTGAGTTTCTCTCCTTAGTGGCCCTCATGATTTTTCATGGTTCCACATTACCTCATTAAAATCTCCCAAACAAATCCACGGTTTATCACTTTGTCCTGCAAAATGTCGAATTAAAGCCCATGATTCATCCCTCTTACTCGTTTCAAGTTCACTACAAAAGCCAGTTAACCTCCAATTATTTTGATCCCGTTCCCCTTTGACTTTTATATCAAGGTGGTTTTTCAAAAAAACTTTGAAACTGTAAGGATATCTCTTCTTTCCACATTATTGCTAAGCCCCCTCTACTGCCTTCAGCATCCGCTCCAAAGCAACCCTCAAAATCCATAATTTCTTTTGATTCTATCTAGCTTTCTTGCATGTGGCTTAGTTTCACTCAGAAATATTACACGAGGATCTTTGCTCTTCACCAAATCCAGAAGAGCCCGAACTGCTCGTGGGTTCCCAAGATCGTGGAAGTTCCATCCTATGCACCTCATTGACCCCGGTAAGACTAGAATCCAGTCTCCGTTGATTTTTCTGAGAATTGTACTGCTTCCTCATCACCTTCATAGCTTCTCTTCCCCTGGTTATCAATCTCCATGAAGTCACATTCTTATCACCCATTTTCCTTTTCCCATCTATTTTCGCCATGGTTGTTCTACTTCTACTTGCTTTCTTGGCTTTCTTTTTCCATCCTTGTTTATTCCCTACTTGTCTCCTTTGCACTGTCCCCATATCCTTTTTAAAAGACGTTGCCTCCTCATCTTGTAACGCCACTTTATGGGTAGTTTCCATACCATTTTGTCCACATGTGCCTCCATTAATATTTTCCCTCTGCCATGCAATTCTATATTCTGTGGTTGCTCATTATTCTGCATTAAAGACTGTCCCATGATCTCGTCCCTTGTCAGTTGCTTGAACCAAGATTCCCTAGATGTCAACTCACTTTCTTTTGTATGATTTATAGGAGAATCTGCATGGGTATGAGCTGGTCTCCCATTTACTCCCTTTGATTTGGTTGCCAAAAATCCTCCATTCTCATTCCCATATCCCTTGTCATTACTACCAGTTTCATCTGCTCCTGTTTTCTCGGAATTTCCATTGTTTCCTGGCTTGGATTGTTCTCCGACCACCCTCTTGTGATGACGATTGGCCTGTGTTTTTTTGGGAGCTTTCCTGTTCGTTCATTCCTCTATTATCTTTTCCTCCTTTCCCATTAGTTGTTCCCATTAATCCCGAACCAACAATTCTGCCTTCTCCCCTCCTCATCGTCCCCCTTACCCTATTTGTGGTTACTCTTAACCAGTCACCATATTGCCTCTTCTCTGTCTGCTCTTCCTCCTTGTCATTGTTTGATTCACACTCAGTCTCTGTGTGACCTAACTTGCCACAGATGTAGCAAAAAATTGGTAGTCCATCGTATTTGAGTTGGCCCCAAACTTCTTTTGCCCCTCTCCTTGCCAGAGACACGAACCTTCGAAAGGGTTTTGTAATGTCAATCTCCACTCTAATCCTCAAAAAACTCTCCCTTTCATTGTCCCTATTGAATTTCCTATCGTTTCTGCCACTACTATGTTCATCATTCCCAGGGGTAGCCCATAAATTATGATCCAGAACAAGGCTCTGTCAAACTTGTACTCATTTTGCGGAAGTTCTCGATCATAATATTTGAATGTTATGAGGTCCTTGTCAAATGACCATGGTGATCCATCTGGAACCCTTTTCTTGTCACTTTTTTATCCAAACTTAAACAAGAACAGATTCTCTTCAAGCACCGTTGTTGTCATCTCCTTGCCTAATTTCCATATCACCCTTAGCGTGCCAAAAATTGCTTCCTTATCGAACGCTTGTGAAGTCAAAAGACTTCCAACCATCCATTGTTCCTCATTATAATCAGCTTTTATGTGATCATACTCTATGATTACACATTCTTTCTCCATCTCAGTTAGTCTTAGGTTTTTCCATTCATCCACCAATTCTCTGCCATTACCAACTGATCACGTATGCAACCTTAATTGCCCAATGACTATCTAACACAAAAAACTACCAACCCCTCGAGATCTTGAGGGAAGAAAACTCTCGTACATGAAAAGACGAAAACCTCTCACAAATCCTAAGTTTTGAAGAGATTTTTTTGTTTTTCCATACTTTTATATTTTGTTGATGATAGATTCTTTGTAGCTATTATGAAGGTTCAAAAGGAGTTATATGCCTCGACTAATGACTTAAATATATTCAAAGTTCACTTATGTGCTTTGGCAATTGAATTTTGTAGCATATAATAGTTAGTATTTTTTTTTTTAATCAATAGTTAGTAATACTTAATAATGCAAGGTTAGGAGATTTCTTAAATTTATTCATTTATTAAAAAAATATGTTATATTATTTTATTTTTTGGGTAACTTTTTTATTGAAGAAATATATTTATTAAACAATTAAGTTTTAATTAAATTAATGTTAATTCTTATTTTCATATTTATTTTTATTAAAATTATATATTGACTTACTAATTCAATGATTTCCTTAAAATAAAGTGAATCAAATTCTAACTTTGATTAAAAACATACTAATCAATCTAAAGAGTTAGTTTTTATACATTGGTAAGTTGAATTTTTTTAAAGTAATTTTTTTTTTTTTTTTTGCTTTCAATTCAATAATTAAGTTTAAAATGATATATATTATTGATATTCATGTGGATTTTTTAACCTCATTTTTTTTTTCAAAATTGCATCTGTAATCTTTAATAATTTCTATTGACATAAAAGTCTTTGACAATTAGTTTTTTAAATTGAGTACAAAAATCAGCAACTTTCTTGAATCTAATTTCCAACATTGCATAATAATTTGAAATACTGGACAAAATTAAAATTTAACTTTTCAACATCTTATCTAATTATAAAATAATTTACTATGAAAAAAAATTTGGAGAGCATATTAACTAAAATAATTATACTATAATTAGCTAATCAGATTTTAAAATTATATAAGATCTATCAAAATATTATGTAAAGTTTACTCTTATAAGCGATAGACTCTTACATAATTTACAATTGCAATCAGATAATTATAATAAAAAAATTATAGTTGAAATACTCTTATACACAAAATTGATTTTAAATGGATTAACTTTCAATTGTTTGAAATCAAATATTATTAAATTTTATTTAAATATCATTTATTGTATATATGAATATGATAAAAAAAAGTTTATCTAAACTTTTTTATAATTACATATTAATCTTAGATGTTTATATTTTTACGTACTTATTTTACATCAAAATTTTTATTTTTATAAATTTATTAATTTTATTATAATTAAATAAATTTTTTATATAAATAATTATATATCCGTGCATCACGAATTTAAAATTAATCATAAATAAATGTGGTAAGTCCTATTAAGATTTTTACATGTTTAAAAATTTTGGTGAATCATTGGTGGCACGTATAGTCGTATCGTGCATCACAAGGATATAATACAAGTATTGCATGACTTCGGCACCACTACTCAAATCAACGTTTCGGGCCTGTTTCCTGGTGTTGAGAAGAAAATAGTTGCATGGTATTTGGCATTGCCAACTCAAAAAACCTCTGCAAAATTAGTGCTATTAGGAATTGAATATGATCCTCACCAGACTCAAACTCCCATCACTCCCCAAATCCCCAACATTCCCTTTTGCATTTCGTTTTTCAACTTCTCCTCCACATCACCATCTGCAACAACAACCACCCATCACCAACAAGCCATACTGGACCAACAAAATCCACAACCTCTGCACTAAACACCGCAACGTCGACGAAGCGCTTCGCCTACTCGACACCCTCTGCCTCCACGGCTACCACCCTGATTCCCTCAACCTCAGCAGCATAATCCACGCCCTTTGTGATTGCAACCGCTTTTCTGAAGCTCACCATCGCTTTCTTCTCTTCTTGTCTTCTCACTTAGTCCCCGATGAACGAACCTGCAATGTCCTCATTGCCCGCTTACTCTATTCTAAAACCCCACTTTCCACATTTCATGTTATTCGTTCGTTACTGTATGTCAAGCCCGAGTTCGTGCCTTCTTTAACAAATTTTAACCGTCTAATCGATCAATTTTGTACGGATTTACGTGTTGATATTGCGCATAGGTTGTTTTTTTACATCAAGAGTAAAGGACAATTTCCTAATGCTGTTACTTACACTACTTTAATTAATGGTTATGCTAGAGTTGGTGATTTAGCTGCTGCCTTTAAGTTGTTTGATGAAATGCGTGACTGCGGAGTGTTTCCGAATTCGCTTACTTATAGTGTTCTCATTCGTGGGGTTTTTAGGAAAAGAGACTATGCGTACGCAATGGAATTGATGAACAAACTTTGGGAGAGAATGAAGGATGTAAAGGACGACCCTGCTGTGAACGCGGCAGCTTTTGCTAATCTTATTGATTGTTTATGTAGAGAAGGGTATTTCAATGAAGTTTTCAGAATTGTTGAAAGTATGCCTCAAGGGAAGAGTGTAAGTGAGGAGTTTGCTTATGGGCATATGATTGATTCTCTTTGTAGAGCTGGGAGGAACCATGGCGCTTCTAGGGTTGTCTACTTGATGCGCAAGAAAGGTTTTGTGCCAAGCTTAGTTTCTTATAATTGCATTATTCATGGACTTTGTAAGGAGGGAGGTTGTATGAGAGCCTATCAGTTGTTTGAGGACGGATTTGAGTTTGGCTACTTGCCATCCGAGTACACTTACAAGGTTCTAGTAGAAGGGCTTTGTCGAGAATCTGACTTCCATAAAGGGAGGCAAGTTTTACATTTCATGTTGAATAAGAAAGGTGCGGATAGAATTAGAATTTACAATATATATTTACGAGCACTTTGCCTTGTGAATAATAACCCAACTGAATTTTTAAATGTACTTGTTTCTATGCTTCAGAACCAGTGTCAACCTGATGTCATTACCTTAAACACGGTTATCAATGGATTTTGCAAGATGGGAAGAATTGAAGACGCTTTGCAGGTACTAAGTGACATGATAAATGGGAAATTTTGCGCTCCTGATGTGGTGACGTTCACTACAGTTGCCTGTGGTTTATTAGATGTGGGAAGAACACAAGAAGCCCTTGATGTATTGAATCAGATAATGCCTGAAAGAGGTTTAAGGCCTGGTGTTATTACATATAATGCAGTTCTTCGTGGTTTGTTTAAAACCCAACATGCAGATGAGGCCATGGGGGTATTTAATTGCATGGTAAATGAGGGTGTGACTGCCAACTGTACCACGTACGCTATAGTTGTTGATGGATTATGCCAATATGGCCAAATAGAGGAGGCAAAAAAGTTTTGGGATGATGTTATATGGCCTTCACAAATTCATGATGATTTTGTATATGCAGCTATTCTCAAAGGGCAATGCCAAGCAAGCAATTTTAATCTGGCTTGTCATTTTCTATATGAACTGGTTGATTCTGGTGTCACTCCTAATACTGTGAGCTATAACATTGTGATTAACAAAGCTTGCAAGTTGGGTTTGGAAAAAGAAGCCTATCAAATTGTTGGAGAAATGAGAAAGAATGGACTGGAACCAGATGCTGTAACTTGGAGGATTCTTGAAAAACTACATGGTGATGTAAGAAAAACATTTTGTACAGACGATTCACTACTAAAATCTTGAGATGTATGAATAGGTAGGCTCATTCAACATTGCCTAGCTTCTATAAAATGCAATTGCTAGTGTGAGTTCTTTTGCTGCAGCCTGCTTCATTCAAAGCGACTGGCAAGAAAAGAATAAAATTGCCAATGCCATTCCTAAATGAGACACAAAATAAGCAGCTTTGGAGGAACCATATGCACACAGGAATTACAGTAAATCTGAACTTGAAAGCATTTCAGCTGTTTTTGTCGAGGTACGATTAATAGTCTAATGAGAGGAGCTAAAGGCGAGTAGGCGTCATGCAAAAGAGTATGTAGGAGGCTGGCTTCAGATGTCAACATAAAGGCATGTTAGAAAGGCTCTGTGTATACTCATTTACTTGAATTATACCTACCTGATAGTCAGAAATATTATATTCAAACGGTTGAATTGCATTAATAAACTACAGCAGTTCATATTTATGTTCCCAGGGAAACATTTCTTGATTCTTTCACTACAAAAATTAGGTTACTTGTTAGCATTTTATTTCTGGCAGTTGCTGTAACCCCTTAAGACTTTTATATTAATAAAATTTTCCTTATGGAGTTAAGAATTGCCAGCTGAGGAGCCTGATTAGTTCCCTTCATTTTTATTCTCCCTTTCCTCATGAAGCCCTCATCAAACCAATGCTTGCTTTCCATCACCTCCCCTTCTTAACATTGCTCTCTCAGTGCTCTTTTTCCATCATTGTCATGTCCGGTGATTCATGCAGATGAGGACAGCAGCAGTTCTTTGTCCCCTTGGACTTTATATTATTTTGCCATTATCTGGTTCCTTCTCTCTCTAATCTAAGCCTATTCGATATTCTTCTTCCCTCCAGCAAACTGCACTTTCTCCACGGGTAAGCTTTCTCTAATTTTCTCAAATTTTCTGACACATTTTGTTGCTCTGCAACTCTCGACTTGCTGCCTTGCTCAGTCCTTAACTTTCCCCTCTATTAGTCTTGCGTAAGAACTGGTTTGTTTTACAATTTTCTTGGAAATTTTTAGCACATTTCAGTTTCCTGATTTCTGTTCATGTAAGATATGGCACCATTGTTGTCACATTGAAGATTCTTTCCTCCACTAGTGCTCAAGGTCTCTCTCTATGAAACCCGCCATTTCTCAATTGGTCTGATAGCCGCTGCCCTCGCTTGAGATTCTCACTGTTATTTTGGTCTTTGATTCACTTTGTAGGATGTTATTTTCTTGTTTCCAAGTTTCTGAGTTTTATGCTATAGTTAGATTTATTTTTGGCTTAGAGTTAATTCAATTTCAATTTTAAGGATATTTATATAATTATCTTCGGACAATTAAAATTTTGAATCAGAGTTTGTAGCACTAATTTGCTGCTTTCAGTTATCTCCTTTTAGTAAGACTCTGGATTTAAGTAGTTATCCATTTAAAACTTGAAATTTTAGAAACAAAAGTTGCTGGTTCAGCTCTTATGTCTGATTTATGTGTTTTAGGATACTGAAGCCAATTTTTGGTCTATTGCTACTTAAAAGACTCTAAATTCACTGAGCTAATAGGCAATAAGATAGCCTTGGATTTGTTTTGCGTATCAGAGTTGCTTTGCGGTGGATCTTTTATATTTGAATCAGATTTAAATGTGACGGTGATGTCGGTGTTGAATGCTTTGAATCAGATTTAAAGGTTACGGTGATATCGGTGTTAAATGAAGACAGTCTTTGAAAGTTTGGTTTTGAGAAAGTACAATATTTAATTTGAATTTTATTTTTTTGTAATTTGATTCTTAAAATGTGATTTCGGAAGAGAATAAAAACTCTCTTCTTCATGAGATTTTAAAATTTTAGAGAAAAAGTAATAAAAGTAATAAATATTGAAATTATATTTTTGAAATTTGAAAATTTTAGCAAAAACTAAATTTTTAATATAAAAATTGTAATGGATATTAAAATTTTATTTTTAAAACTTTAAAATTTTAACAAAAGTCATGTTTTTAAAGTTAAAAAAAAAAAAAAGAGTAGATGTTGAAACATTATACAAAATTTTGGAATTTTAACAACGATTGTATTTTTAATATAAAAAACATGATAAATGGTGAAATTTTATTTTCAAAATTTAAAAATTTTGACAAAAATCACGTTTTTAAGCTAAAAAACGTAATCGATATTAAAACTTTTTTTTTAAATTTAAAATTTTAATAAATATAACATTTTTAAGATAAAAAATATAGTGAGTGTTGCTACTCGTAACAAAATTAAGATAGAATGAATTTTCTTTACGTAAGGATAATAAATGTAAGTATATTAATTAAGATTGTAAAATTATATTTGTTGAAAATATAAAAAAATATTTTTCAAAATTCTTTAAGTTCAATGAAAATAATATGTTATTCATATATAATGAATATTTTGTTATTTATGTGTCATTAAAGATAATATAAAAAAGATTTTATTAAATAATTTTATATTCTTCTAGATCAAACAAAACCCAATAATTACTATGGGTGATAATGGTTCAGATCATATGGGATTTAATTCAGTTTTTTCGGATCATTGATACATATTACTACTTGAAACGTACTGTTGTGCATTGCTTCTGTAGTAAATCGGCGCTAATATTATGAATAAATTCTAGTTTTAATATTGTTTGAGCACCTACTCTGATTCGCAAATAGCTTTTGCCATCACTATTTGCAAATCAGAGTTCACAAAATATTTTTGCATCTTTGATTTTCATTGACTGTTATGGATTCCTAACCTTCAAATGTCAGGCTGCTTCCTCATAGCATAAGTTTATCATATATTTTGCTTTGCTGCTCGAGTTCACTAAGCTAGTCCTCTGTTAAAGGCCAAGCTCAGGAAATATGAGCTATTCTGCCATTTTTTATTTTTTATTTTTTATAATTATGAGTATTGGTTGTGAACATAGTATTAATATTCTTTCAAGTCTATTTAACAATTTAGGCCATCTCAGCTATTAAGAATTGATGTTAGCCGTGTCTTAAACCTCTACATGGTTGGATGGGTTGAGAAGGGGATCCATTCATAAGAACCTGATAACTCACTGTGCTAATGCACTCCCTTATGATCCGGACCACTGTTCATAAAAACGCTTGATATTCATCACCTCTTGGATGAAGTTCCAGCTGATCCTATCTAGGCCTTATTCATATAAATTTTAACAGCTCCTAAAACACCCTAGCTTTTTTTCCTCCAAATGATGTTGATGATTTCCCCTCTCAAGATGATGTTGTCTAAGATAAGTCTACCTTTGACAAATGCAATTTGGTACAGGGAGATGATCTCTCCCATAATAAACTTCAGTATATTGGCTACTGTCTTTACAATGCAACATTGCAAAGACTTATTGGCATGTAGTCTGTGACTCCATCTTGGACTTTTCCCTTAGGATTTAGAGTACTTGGGATTTCATTTAACTCTTTAAGCAAATACCTAGAGTTTAGGAAAGACAGGGAAGAAGCTTTTGCAAGTTTCCCAACAATATCCCAAAATTTTTGGTAGAAAAGCCCCAGTGTACCAACTATTCTTGGTGCTTTAAAGAGGCCGATTTGGAAAGCGTTATTGAGGCATTCCTAATGATGATCACTCAGCCAAGGTTATTGTAACTTCTCTCTCATTGTTGCCTCCTTTGACCCAAAAGGTTTGTGAAATATTGCCGATAGGCATTTTCTATCCTTTGTTGATTATCTTTCTAACGGTGATCATGGGTAAGCAGTATCGAGATTCTATTCCTAATTCTTTTCCTTGGAGTACTAGTATGATAAAACTTAGTGTTACGATCACCCTGGATTATCTAATTCATCCTGGATCCAATGGATTTGTTCTTGTTCGGCCGGCTGTTCAATTTCATTTCTTATCTCCTTTTCTCCGATGCAGGTTGCTTTAGAGTTAAGCCCTTTCTCTGCCTCTGTAAGCTCGATGCTTTCAAGTCTCCTCCTTCGTTCTCTTAGATTTCCAAACACATTCTTATTCCATATCTTTAGGTTGTTCTGTGTTATTTTAAGTTTCTAAATGAGAGTGAAGCAAGAAGAGCCACTAACTGAATTACTTCAAGAATTGCTGATAATTTCTCTGCATTATGGGTGTGTGATCCACATGGCTTCAAATCTATACGTTCTTCCTCTAAAGTTCCCGTGTTCATCAGTTATCAGTAAATTGGCACCATGGCCTGAGAAAGTGATGGGCAGGTTGTTTAAATATGCTTTATCAAATATGTATCATAAATAAATATTTAAAATAATTTTTATATGATTATGTTAAATATATAATTGTATATTATAATTAAAAGCTTAAAATATTTTTTATATATTTATATTAAATTAAAATAAATATAAAGACTATTAAACGTATTAAATGCAACAAACATATTTCTGTATCTAATTCGTATATTTGTATAGCACAATTTAATTAAACGAATTTTCATGTCTTATACATATCAAAATTTATATCGATACAATCAAATACATAACATATTTTTTAAAAAACTTATATGAATTTTTGATATTGTTTTGATTTCATATTAACATGTTGTATTTAAATTTATCAAGTTTAATAAAATCACATATTTTTTATTTATATAATAATTAATTTTAATTTAAAGTATATAAATTATAATATTTATATTTATTTTAAAATTTTTTTACTTTTTATCTTTAATAAAATTATAATAAAATCTAACTTGAATTCGATTAAATAATATGTTTAAATTTAATCTATAAAAATTAATAAATTAACTTAAAATGATCTGAATCCAAATAATTCGCAAATCAAACCTGAAATACCTAAACTAAAATAACTAGAACCAGATACGACCAAAATCCAAAATAACCCAAATACAAAATAACTTGAATCTAAAATAAACTGAAATTCAAATGCTCCAGCGCAAAATTAGCTGAACTCTTTTAAGACGCATAATAACCCAAACAAAACTAACCCAAACCATCCCAACCCGGCTTGCCCAATTGACAGGTCTAATCAAAAGGCCTCAATTCAAATTCTTAATTCCACAAGCTAGATCGCAATTTTGAATGGTTTATATCTTGTGTTTACGTACAGCAGCATTGTCATATGAAAGACCAATTTTGGGTTGGTCTTGAAATGTTTGCTAACAACGTTATGCTATTGGGTGGTAAGGTGGGATGTTAATGGCATTGCTGGTGCAGATGAGTAGTGGGGAGAGGATCGAATTATTGTGTTAATAAGGCTCAGAAGTTTGCTGAAAGGTGGGATGCTTGTAGCTTATTTGATATTGGTGCTCGGTATTTTAAGTTACGTGGTTTCGGAAGCAATATGGTAGCGTTGTTTTACAAGAATACTTGGATAGAGTCTTAATGAATTCAGCTGCACAAGAAACATTTCCAAAAGCTAAGGTGGTGAATTTATCTTATGTTAGCTCGGATCACCATCTTATTTAAATACATTCAAAGTTTTGTCACCGTAAACAACTCATTTAGTTTAGCATCAATTCACATTTTAAAATTAAGCTTTGATTTTATTTATTTATTTTTTATATTGTATTTAGTTTAAAGTTATTATTATTTAAAGAAAAAAAGTTCGGATCAAACCGAATTGATTTAAGATTGCAGTTCTTTCGGATTACAACAGT